GAAAGGTTTTCTGTTCTATTTGGTCTTAGAGTTATTTAAGTACATCTTTCCTCCACTGGATCGTAAACTTCTTGAAGGAAAAAATCATTATTTTACTCTGATTATGAAAAAAGGGAACTTGTTTCAAAAGACTGACAAGGATACGTATCAACCAACTAAAGTGTTTAGAAGACATGTACAAAAAAAGTAAAAGCAGGTCATTGAGAATGGATACAAAAGAGCAGGAGATTCTCTATAAGATACCAGGATACAAGAGCTATCAGAAAGCTTGAAGCCCACAGAAGGAGCAGGGGCTTGCGGAGAATTCTAAGAACAACAAAAAGGGCTTTTTAAAGCAATGTTCTGAGATATGAGAAAGATCAAAGCCGATAAAGGACCACTGCTTCAGATAGATGAAATAATAACATGATGGAGAAAAAGCCAGAGACGCTGCAGGGTAACAGACACAAAGCTGGAAGAAATAGCTACCACACAGGATAAGAGTCAAAACTCAGAAAGATTGTGACAGGCTCAAACTTTGGGCCAAATCAAGTAAGATGGAATTGAATAGTGAAGTCATATACTTGGATTTCTGCAAACCAGCTTCGTAAATATAAAATAAAGAAGGGGAGGTTCTACTCCAATTAATATGAAAAAGATCTGGGGGTATTAGTAGACTGGCTCCACTCAAGTCAACAATGTCCTTTGTAATCCAAGAAAGCTCACGTAATCTTAAACTGCATTGACAGGCCTGGTGTCCAGGCCCAGGAAGAGGTCAGGCCCACTTGTATTCTGCGTGGGTTGGAGCATATCTAGTGTACCATGTTCTGTTTGAGGTGCCACATCTCAGAAAGGACACTGATAATCTAGGAGGGCAAATGGGATGGGAAAAGCTCCTAAAATCATTACCCTTAGGGCTGAGTTCAGGGAAATGGGAATATTTATCTTGAAGAAAGTAAGACTTAAGGGGAGGCACATAATAGTTGGGTCCAAGCAGTTGAAAGGTTGTCATAAGGAAGAGGGATTACACTTGTTTACTAAGAGTAATAGAAACTGAAAGAGGAAACTTCAGGCTTGATATAAGCAGAAATATCTTAACAGTAAGAGCTCTCCCCAAATGGAACTGGCTGCATCAGGAAGAGTGGTCATCTTCAAGCCATAGTCAGATGACCATTTGTCAGGCAGATTGCGTAAGGGATTCTCCTTCAAGTTCAGTGTGAACTGGGTAGAGGCTGAGGCCCCTTCTCACTCTGTTATTCAGTGTTTTTGTAACCAGAGCAAAATGCACCTGCATTATCAACTCCAGCATCCTGGACAAAGGCTTCAATAACATAATCATCTTTCCTGACTTTTTTATTGACGCCCCATCTTTCTTCTCTCTTTATATGTGGATGTTCTTTCTTCAAGGTGACGGGAACTGAGGCTGCTGAGCTTTAAGAAGATACAACCTAGGGGAAGGGCAGCATGGAAGCCGTTTCCATGGCCAGACTCTTGTTCAGGTAGGAAGCTGTGCTCAATAGCCTCTGAGGGGCCATCCAATCCAAGATCCTCAAGTGTTTCGTTTGTTTGTTCTGCTGTCCCAGAAGAACGAAAGGCTCCTTACCATTGAGGTGGTAAAGACAAAATTAGCAAAGAGAATACCTGACCACCCTCCATTATGTCGAGCCACCAGGCTCAGCTAAATTATACAAGAGGACATTGAAATAAAGCGTGGATATGATTGCTGAGCCACTCTTAGTCATCTCTGAAAAATTGTGCTCAATATGAAATTGAAAACTTTTTGCATGAATAAAATAAATTCAGTTAGGATAAGAATGGAAACTCTGAACTGGGAAAAAAAAGTTTGTATCACGTATCTTTGACAAGAGCATGATATCCAAGATATCCAAAGAATTAACACAAATATATAATGGGTACAGTTCTTAATAGATGGATCTAAGAGTACTGAATCATGAGACTGGGCCAAATAATTAATAAGGAACACACAAATCAAAACATCTCTGAGATTTCATCTCATATCCCACAAGTTGGCAAAGATGAAAAAGATGAAAACGGACAATGTTGAAAGGATTATTGGAAGAAAGGCATAAAAGTAATACTATTACTGTTGTTGGGGCAGGAAATTGGCACAGTCTGGAAAGCAATCTGGATATTTGCTAATGAGTTACTAAAATGTCTATACCTTTGACTCAGAAATTCCATTAGTAGGTAAATATTCCAAGGAGGTCAACGACAAATATGAAGGTAGAAGTTACACCTAGATATTCACTTTCGCCATTTTTTGTGCAAACAAACTGGAAACAAAAGTACATACCTCTCACTTGGAGAATGGCCTGATACATGAATACAATGGAATATTATGATGCAATGAGAAACAACAAACAGAAATAATGTAAGATTTACCTGACCTGATATAGAGCGAAGGAAGCAGTAACTATAATGATGTAAATGAAAAAAATAGTATGATAAAACTGAACCTTATGTAATTATAATGGCCCTCAAGAAAAATGGAGAAAATGCACCTCTCTCATTGTAGAGGTGGGAGAGGATGGCTGTGAAATACTGTATGTACTGTCAGACATAGTCCATGGGTTACTTGGATGTGCTGAATTGTTTTTTCTCTTACAAGGGAAGATAACATGAGTGGGTGGGGAAGGGAGATCTATAAATGAATAGGCTGTAAAATGAAAAAGCATCAAGAAAAGAAGGGAATAAATGGGGAGAGGTGCCAAAAGTTACATGAATTTTCTGAGAAAATGAAAATGCAGACAAAAAACAAATGGGAAGATTCTTCAAACTATAGACCCGAGGAAGCTGGATTAACAAAATTTTAGAAATCATGATTAAAAGGGAAGTGATCACTAGGGGCCACCATCGGTTAATTGGGAACAAGATACTGCAAAGTAACCTAATTCTCTTGTTTAAACAGGGAAGGGGTTACTGACCTGGTGAACGCCATAAACACAGTCTATGTGAATTTCAGCAAAGGCATCTGAAAAGTTCTCCCACAAAAGCCTTGTAGGCAACATGGAAGGATGGCAGCCTGTAGGTTATAAATAGGTGACCAGGCAAATCATAAGAGTACTGATGATGGATAGAAATCAGCCTGGAGAGAAGCTTCTAGGGAAGTCAGCCCCATCTAGTTCAACATTTAGATCGCTGGCTTGGATGGAAGGAGATAAGATGCTTCCCCAAAGCTAGGAGGGATAGCTAATACCTAAGATGACAGAAATGAGGACCAGAAATAGCTCAGCAGGCTGGAACGATGTGAGCTGAATCTAATATTAAACTTTGTAGAGTTAAATGTAAAATCTTCCAGTTGGTTTAAAAAACTTAAATTGCACAGGCCCAAGATGGCACCAACAGGGCCAGACAATCAATTGTTCATGTGAAAAGGACCTCAAACTGGTCATAGACCTGGATCTGGGAGGGGCCTCAGAGGCCAGAGTCCAAGCCAAACCTCCTACTTCAGCACTGTAAACTCGAGATCCCTCCACCTGGCAGGGCTCTCCAGCAGCATGAACAGTAACACGAGGGCCCCCACAGGGGAAGCGGCTAATTCTGATCCTGCTGAACACCTACTCCAGGCCACCTCTGGGGTGTTTTGTGTGTTCAGTCTATGGGCTACATCTTAGGAAAGAAACTAACAAGCCAGCGAAAGGCCAGAGCAGGGCAATCAGAAGAAGGGATATGAACTAAAGCAGACCCCACCAAGAACAAGTGAAGGAGGTGCGGCTGTTTAGCCTGATGAGAAATGACTCAGAAAGGCAAGGTTGAGCTGGGAGGGATGGAGCACTGCAAACCAGGAAGGGGTTACAGGTCACATCCAGCTCAGGACAAAAGCTTTTCAATCACAATAATTATCCCAAGTTAGCATGGGCTGCCACAACAGATAAATAAGCTGCATATCTCTAGAGGTATTCATGTGACCATCCATCAGGGGTGATATCTGAGGTTCCTTCAAAAGGCGAGACAATGATTTCTATCTTCTTCAAACAACGTGCTTTGTACATAGATGTTAATTTTTGTCCAATGAACGCGCTATCCCAAAAAATTACACTTTCCTCTGTAAATCAAATTAAAAGCTCCCAGCACAACACACAACTTGTACTCATGTGATGTCAGACTGGAGGCCAAAGATAAGACTGCATCATTTGAGGCTAGGGTATTCATCTTTCAAGGCCAATCTGTATACTTCTCTTCACGTTCTGCTGTCACACAGAAATCCAGGAGATACCATGGGTAGGGAACCTTTCCACATCCAGTTCTTGAGTCTTTGGGCCATATTCTGAATTGTCTGCTCCAGATCATGCATTTTAAAAAATCTTATTAAATCTAGTAGAAGCCAGGTTGGCACGGTCCTTCTTGGCATCATATTTTTATTTGTAGGTAGTGATTAGGGAAAGAAGGGTAAAAATGAGCTCAGTCTGTTTAGGATAAATATTTTTAGAATAAGTAAATTCAGATCACAGGACTAAGGGCTACTGGCAGAAAGCTTGCAGATCATCTAGTCCAGTTCCTGCAGCACCACCACCTATGCACCCATTTTACAGATGAGGAAAGGGGTGGGAAGTTGAAGTCATTTGTCCAAGGTCACAGAGGCAGCTAATAAGGAACAGAGCCAGGACTCAAATCTGAGGCTTCTGACTCTGAATCCAGTGTTCTTTTCACCATAATTTTTCTTCTCTCTGTTATAAAAACTACCTATTTAATATGACAGGTTAATCTGGTAACTATATTCTAAGACTGAACTCATTCACGTTATTTTATGGCAATTTAGAGAATGACTGTACCTAATGATACAATCTAAAGAAGGGAAAACATTTCAAAAGCCAAGCTACAAAATGGACCCTCTCATTTTAAGAAGACTGGCAAGTAATTACAAGCATCACTCCAACACACATTTTGGAATTTAAAGAAAAGCCAAATGCAATTCGGAAACAGAATTAAAAATAAAATTAGTTATCTTCTTATGTAACTTTGGGTGAGATAAACTCCACCAATGGCTCTCTTATACTTACTACCTCCTTGGGTAAGTGGCTTAAACTTGCTGGGCCTCAGTTTCCTCATTTGTAAAATGACAAAGTTGGACTGGTTGGATGTCTCTTCCAGCTCTGCTTCAAGGATCCGGTGACCCAAACTGTGAACCACAGCTATTGCAACGGTCCACAAACCGAGACTTACATCCAAATAATACTTGGAGCTTCATTTAGTACCTACAAAAAATGCCAAATGGATGCTACTATCATGAGGAAAAGAAGGGGTGACATCTGAATATTTAAAAAATATATATTCTGGGTTTTTGACACATTGCTTTCTCTCGTTTCTCAAGACAAGTCAGCCAGTCCTGGGAGTTCAGCATCTAACTGTCAAAAGGTGGGAAACACGGTTCATCACTCTGGAATCATGGCTGGTCATTGCACTGGTCACAATTCTTTAATACCTAGGATTATACCTAACATTAAAGTAATGCTTTAACGTTTGCAAAGTACATCACTTGTTAACTCATTTGATCTTTGCAATAACTTTGTGAGGTAGGTACCATTATTATCCATCTTACACGGGTAAGGAAGCTAAAACCCAAACTGCTCAGGAGCCTGCAGCTGGTAAGTACCTGGGGCAGAACTGGAACTCTTGTCTGCCTGAATTCAACACTACAATATCCCCTGTGCCACCTAATGGCCTTAGTCTTTCAAAATGGGAATGCTACTGTACACATTGTTCTCCAGGTTCTATTCAGTTCACTCTGCATCATTTCAGACAAATCTTCCCTGGTTTCTCTGAACCCATTCCTTTCAGCATTTCTTACCTCACAGTAGTGTTCCAATTACATTACCAGTTAGGATTTATATCTCATTTTAAGTGCTTTACAAATATTATATGATTTTATTCTCAGATAACTCTGGGAAGGAGTTACTATTATTATCCCCAATTCGTACACAAGAAAACCGAGGCAGACAGGTTAGGTGTCTTGCCCAGGGTCATAGAGCTAGTAAGTATCTCAGGCTGGATTTGAACTCAGGTCCTTCCTGACTCCAATCCCAGTGCTCTATCCAGGAGCTATATCATAATTTGTTCTGCCATTTCCCAAATGAGAAAACTTTTTGGTTTCCCATTCTTAGCCACTACAATAGGAGCTGCTGGAAATTGTTTTGTCCATTTGAGCTCTTTTCCTCTCTTTGATCTTTCTGAGATTTAAGTACTGTTATTACAGAATCAAAAGCAACTGCTTCAACAACCCAAGTGACTCTTCTTAAAGTCAACGATAAAAACTGTATAAAGGACATTAACGTTGAGGTTATGAGTGATGGAGAACAACATGAGTATAAAGCCAAATTCTTAAAAGAGATTTTATTTCCTACCTTATTCCTCTTAACGTATGGTCCTGTCATTTTGGCCCAGTCCATTTTCTATTACAAAAGCCACTGCTGGAAACGCAGAAATGATGATTTCTATTTTCCTCTCATTCACAAGCAACAAAATTTCATCAAGTAAAGATGTGTACAAAAATAAAAACAAGAATAAACTTTTTAAATGCTACTCATAACAGAGAGACAACAGAAGTCACGTTTCAACACTTTGGGCAAACTATAAATATTTCTTTTAAACTAGGTCACACTTCCAATTCTATTAAAAGAGAAAGAAATGAACTATTATGGTTTGATCCCAGATGCCACAAGCATATAATACCATACATATACCTTGCCATATAAAGAGATTGTTCCTTACACAAGACACACCCCAGAAATTGGACATTTCACTTAAATGATTTGCCATTCTCTGATATTGACCAATTTGAGGAAAGGAAGGAGGACAGGTGGCATGACAGTGGGAAATGAATAAAATAGAAGACATGAATTCAGAAAGAGAGGAGGGGTGAGCTGGTAGTTGATTTATAACATACAAAATGTCACTGTAATTTAAGACCATGTAGTGGGGCAGCTAGGTGGCGCAGTGGATAAAGCACCAGCCCTGAAGTCAGGAGGACCTGAGTTCAAATCCGGCCTCAGACCAAACACTTGACACTTACTAGCTGTGTGACCCTGGGCAAGTCACCTAACCCCAATTGCCTTAAGAAAAAATATAAAACTATATGTTGGCACTTTCGGCTTACAGTACCTGTCTCATCATTCAATAGGCCTGCTACTTTACAAATACTAAACTATACCTAACTGGTAAATTTAATTATAATTTACTACTACTAACATTTATTTACATATTTAATAAATATAATTTGTTGTTAATAAATCATAATATAAATATACCTAACTGACCAACTCAAATATACCTAACTGGTTATCAATAATTTTCATGTAAAATCCCCAGAAAACTTCCACCTGTGATTTACTTTAAGACGAACTATTAGTAAAACCTTGGGCATACAGCAGCTCCTAAACTCAGTCATAAATATTGTTGATTACTATAGTTCTAAGGGCTTTTCAATCATGAGGAAGAGATATTCATTATACCTTTTACTTTTTCTAAATAAACCCTCTCTCTTCCCACCGAGTGAACTTTAAAAAAAAAAATAGAAATGATCAGCAATCCCCAAACACTAAGTACTCACTGCTTCGACCATTGTGCTGAATGATGGGGACACAAGGACAAAAAAAAAAAAAAAAGCTGAAAACTCTTCACCCTCAAGCGCTCACATTCTCGTGGGGTAGGGGTTTGGGAGGTAGTCCTTCAACATGTACGGGCAGGTATATACAAATCAAACATGAATTACATGTGAACGTTTAAAAACACACAACACAAAAAACTCAGCACTGCTGATTAAACCATTATCCAATCCCTTTCTAAGGGTACTGAAAGATACATGTATCCAAAACTTAAAGACAGAGCATGAGCCCATGCTTAAGGAAGAGGCAGTTTAATAATGTTCAGTTTACAAGGGCTGACAGGAAATCAAAAAGAAACAAAACAACCTATTTTAAAGTCGACACAGCCTTAACATTTCCAAGGCTCTCTGTATCAACCCACGTAATAAAAATACTAACAAGAGGGCCCAGGTTGAAACACACATAGCATTATTTACAAGTCACACAATATGCCAAGTGTTCTAGGTTAAACCAATCTACACATAGTCTTTGCCCCTGAGGAGCTTAAAATGTAAAAGCAGACAAGGTAAACTAATACAAAGCAGGTAATCGAATAAATGGGAACTGAGCTAGGCATGAGATCGAAGAAACTGCCAAGCTCCCAGAAGGCTGGCAACAGTTTAAAGGTGTTTGTGGAGGTTCATATTACTTTTATTTTTTCAACATCTTATAAAATTGTCTTACTCAACTATTATCCACCCTCAATTACTCGGGTGTGATGGTAGCCAACAAATATTTATTCCAAACTGTACAAAGTGACAAAAAAAAAAAGAAAAAGAAAACCACTATTAAATGGGCCCTTTTGTTATTTCTTGGCCTCAAGATTTTCTGACAATTTAAATCTCAATATTCCATACAACGTAAAGGACTAGTGTCCATGGTCAGCAGTGATGTTTAGAGTACAAATTTAATTGCAACTCAGAGCCTGAAAGACTAAAAAACACCCACTATTGACTCATTTCAAAAACCATCAGTCAGGCCAACAGGCAGCTAGCTGCTGCCACGGCTCTCCTCAGACCCTCCCACTCCTACAACAAGGGAACAATTCTTACTGGATTTCCTTGCTGGGTGTTTCCACTACAGGGGCATATGAGCTATGGTTGGCCTGATCACACATAAACATTTCTTGTACTTTCATTTCAGATTCTGATCCACTTACATGCAGTGGACAGTAGCTATTTCAAAATTCAAAAACAAAAAGTCAAAAAAGAGCTGGCAGAAATGCTTTTAGATATAGAACTTCCTTAATGATAGTCACAGCAGAATTTCTACATATCAAACAGCCACCTGGTCTTTTCCCAGACAAATCCAAAATATTGGAGTTTTCCCAATAATTTCACTGCAGTAATCAAACGAAGGGTTGGCAGACTTGGGCTGCTTCCAGGTGATTGTCCACCATAGAAAAGACCCTTAACCAAATTTTGTGGGGCTTCAGTCATTCCCTGGATGAAGTGTGTATCCAATTCGGCCATGGCGGCTTCTAAAAAGTACAGATAAGTGCTACACTGAAGGAAGAGGAAAAAGTAGGCAGTGGTGGATGCTGCCCGTGTCAGAGTCACCCCCAGCAACTTTGGTCTGCTTCGTTGTTGTTCAGTCGAGTCTGACTCTTCTCAACCCCATTTGAGGTTTTCTTGGCAAAGATACTGAAGTGGTTTGCTATTTCCTTCTCCAGCTCATTTTACAGATAAGGAATTGAGGCAAAGAGGGATTAAGTGACTTACCCAGGCACTCTCGAGTTCAGGATTATCTGGAGTAATTCTGGGGAAGAGGGGAAATTCTAGGACACAACTTTGTTGGGGGGGGGGAGGGAGAAGCAGAGGCAATTAACTCCCTAAGTAAGGCATGGCTGTGGAGGATAAGGATAATCTAGTAGCTTCCTCTCTGAACTAATTATTCCTGTTAAAGAGATGGTGCATGGAAGTAAGGGGGAGATAGCCCACCTCAGGCTCAGGAAGACCTGGGCTCAAGTACTGCTTATGCACATATTGGGGGTGGGGCCCTGGCAAGTCACATGACCACTCTATTTTGCACAACAGCTGCCAAACTGCAGCAGGAGTCTCCTCCTTGCTGCCAGCTCCCTGGGCCAGGGAGGTCCATGCCTATACCCCAAAAGGGCTCCTTAATCTTTTTTTTTAATAAGAGGAAGAGGACCCATTTGCACGAAAATATCTATAGCAGGTCTTTTTATAGTAGCAAAAAACTGGGAACTGCCCACGTATTGGGGAAGAACTAAACAAGTTATGGTTTATGAATGTAATGGAATATATTGTGCCATAAAAACACGAAATGTACAGTTTCAGAGGAAACCAAGAATTCGTCAATGAACTGGTACAGAGTGAAGTAAGCAGAACCCGAGAAATCTACACAATGACAACATTAGAGAGACAAAAATCTCAGAAAGACTAGAGAGCTCTGATAAATGACAATGCTAGATTCCAGAAGATGCCAAATGAAGTCCATCATCCACCTCCTGGCAGGGCAGTGATGGACTTCAAACACCAACTGAGACACACATTTTGGACGTGGTCAATGCAGGAATTGGTTTTGCTGGACTGTGCATATTTGTCATAAGGGTTTTATTTATTTATTTATTTATTTACCTTTTTATTATTCAG